TCTTTTATCTTATACAACCATCTACATTTTATTAGTTTCTGGTCCTTGGGTTTCGGAACCAGGGACCAGGTTCTATTTACCTCAAGAGATCTCATTTCCTCTTCCATTGCTTCCCTCCATTTTTCCCTTTCCTTGGATTTCATTGATTTTTCATATGAAACTGGTTCTGTTCTTTGAATACCTGTACCTGCAAGCAAAGCAGTATATATCAGTTCAGCATAAGAAAATCTGGCTGAGGGTCTTACCTCTCTTCTTATTCTGTCTCTGACAAGTTGATAGTGTTCCAGTTGGGTATGTTGTGGCTCTGGAGCATCTGCTCCAGGTTCTTCACTTTCAGATTCTGGATCATCTGGTCCTGGTTGGTTTTCTGGTACTTGTTCATCATCAGATTGAGGTGGTTCAGCCTGCTGACCCACAGGCTCCACCTCAATTGTTGTAATCTCAGATGGGTTCTTTGTATGTTCAGGTGGGGTGTGATTAACAGTGTCCTACCCAGTGGCTTTACAAGGGAACACCCCTTCATTAAAGACTACATCCCTTGAAATAATGACTTTTACCCCTGGTGATTCTCTGTCCTAAAGTCTGTACCCCTTGGTCCCATCTTGATATCCTAGGAGCACACACTTAGTGGACCTAGGCTCTAACTTTCCCCCAACAGTATGTGCATAGGCAGCACACCCAAAAATTCTCAAGTGACTCAGACCAAGTTTTCTCCCAGACCACACCTCTTCAGGACATTTAAAGTTTATGGCAGTAGAAGGACTCCTATTTATCAGCTAGACTGCAGTGGACAAGGCTTCTCCCCAAAAGGTATTAGGTAAACCTGAAATGAACAGCAAACATCTAACTTTTTCTAGGACAGTCCTATTCATTCTCTCAACTACTCCATTCTATTGAGGGGTTCTTCTTACTGTTCTATGTCTTAGAATTCCTTGCTCACTACAAAACTTATCAAATTTAGTGTTACAGTACTCTAATCCATTGTCAGTCCTTAGAGTTTTTACTTTTCTGTCTAGTCGATTCTCCACTAGGGCTTTCCACTCTTGAAACCTAGACAGGGCCTGGTCCTTAGTTCTAAGGTTGTATATCCACACTTTCCTGCTAAAATCATCTACCATGGACATAAAGTAACTACTGCCCCCATGAGACCTCACTTTCTCAGGCCCCCATAAGTCTGAATGTATGTAGTCTAAGCATCCTTTGGCCAGGTGTATGCCCTTTGGGAAACTGACTTTGTGTTGTTTACCTAAAATACAGTTCTCACAGAACTCTAGGGTTGAAACAGTGTCCTTTCCTTACATGCCCTGGTTACTTAGGATATCTAATCCCCTCTGGCTCATATGTCCCATCCTAAGGTGTCATCTTTCAGTTATTGACAAATTTGAGGTGACTAGGGCTGAACTTAGACAATCAGAATAATATTCTCCACATAGGATGTATAACCCATTTCTTTTTTCTCCTTTCAGGATAAGATTCTGGTTTTTATACACATTCAGCCACCCATTTTCAGCTCTGTAGCAACACCCTTCCTCATCTAAGGTTCCTAAAGATATGAGATTCCTTTTGAGTTCTGGAATGTACCTAACATGGGTGAGTTTTATTAGTTTCCCACCACATAGTCTAAGAGTTATGTTACCTCTACCTTTAACCCTACACGTATTGTTATTCCCCATGAAAACTGTCTCCCTATCATATTCCTCAAAGTCTTGAAACCAGTCCCTATTGGGGCTCATATGGAATGAGCTCCTAGAGTCTAACACCCATTCTTTTGTATTATCAGAAACAGAAACAGAAATAGTAAGTACCTCTGTTTCTTCAACTAAGTGTTTGGTTGAGGCTAGGTTACTTTCTGTATTTCCCTGTTTTTGTTTCTTAAGCCACTGAAAACAATTTTTCTTCAAATGACCAGTTTTGTTACAGAAAAAACACTTTCTAGACTTTGTCTTATGCTTATTGTTCCATTTACCCCGTTTTTTGTTTTTGGACCCCTGGCTAGGTTGGTTTCTTTTAACAGATTGAAAGGTGTCTAGTTTTCCCCTAACTAACAGGTTACTCCCATTTCGTTTTTGAACTTTTAACTCAAGTTCTCTAGCCTTAAGACCAACCACAATCAATTCAACACTAGGGACAGTACCGGAGTACTGGAGTGCATTCTTAACAACAAGATAATCCTCAGGTATGGAATTCAACAGTATCATGGCTAAGCTAGTTTGTCCTAATTCCTGATCTGTGCCCTTTAAAATTAGGGTCATTTTGAGGAATTCATCTGGATTCTCCTCTATAGTCTTGTTATTGTCCATTTTATATGAGAATAAAGCACCCTTAAGAAATGCTAGGTTTGGTGCAGATTGAAGAGCATACAAGGTTTCGAGTTTACCCCATAACCCCAAAGGGGTTTCGATTCCATCAACCTTTCTCAGTACGCTGTCTGAAAGGTTCATCACGATCAGATTATAGGCTTCTTCATCAATCTCCTCCTTCGTCTTCAATTTCTCCTCGGACCACTTCTTGGGATTCTTCTCTAGCACAAGACCAACTTTATTGTGTGAAAGCAAAGCTTTCATTTTTTTTCTTCCAACTCCCAAAGTCAATCTTCCCATCATATTGGGAGATCTCCATTCGGGTAGTGGTATTCGACATGGTTTGTGATGGATTTTGTGTTTAGGAACGAAAGATTAAGAACCTGAAACAGAACTAACTCTTCACAACACAACCCACAGAAACCGTAATTTGTGTTTCCCTTGGTTTGATAGAGACTAGTTGACCTCAGATTGGCCTTAGCATAATTTGTTTGATCTGAGAAAACCCTAACCCTAGCACTCGAATATTATCACCTAATCGAATGATGGCTCTGATACCACTGTTATGTAATCAACCAACAAACAAACACAAACCACAAAGAAAACAAGAACAACACACACAATCAACACAGGATTTTACCGTGGTTCACTTGCCCTATTTGAGCAAGCTACATCCACGTTGAACTCCGAAAAATGGGAGTTTGCTGCACAATGATTAACCAAACAACCACTTACAGTCAAAATTACAAGAATACACCAGAATCCCCAAATCAAACAACTCTGATTCAAACCCGTAACCTACCCTAGGAATACTCTAACCTGGAATTCCTATACCAAGAACACAGATGTTCTTCCCTTGATTGATTATCCCACAATCACTCAAGAAGCAACAGATTACAATAGAAATCAGACCCATAAATTATCAAGAACCCTAACAAAACGATGAACACGAAAACAGGCTCTCTCTCTCTCTCGTTTGATCTTCCGTTTACACGAAGACCTTTTTCTTTTTTTAGTGTTGACATGTGGCTTGTTTTCATCCGTTGGATTGTCTCTGAATCAGCTGTCAAGATTCATCTTGAAGCTGTCCAAAACGGCACTGTTCCACTAATGTTCAGTGCTACGTCGTTTCAGCATTCACTCACAACAATTACCATCCTTATTGAGATGAGGAACCATAGATCATGCTTTTGAAAACCCTGTAAAGGAGAGGGAATATAACAGACTGATGCCTCATCCACACATTTGTAAATATTTCTTGTCCTAATGGTTTAGAGTCCCAACCATGCTTATTATGTATCCCATACTTGATGATTAAAAGTCTTTGGGAATTGATCTCTGAAGGAACATTTAACCATTTAACAAGATTCCCACCCCAATCATAAACACAAGAAATTTTAAAAAATATATATTTTATTTATGAATCAAACTTCAATGACAACTTCTATTCATCAACCTGTTTGAGAAACACATTCTTAACATAGAAAACTGGGAAAGAAAAAGTTATCTAGAATCTACACATTTGTTTCGCAAACCCAAGTTCTAAACTTTAACGGAAAGTTATAATTTGAAAGTGTCAGATAATAAGATTAGTTAGTAATTAAAGAGAGAAAAATTCTAGATAAGAGAAAACTGATTGAAGTTTACAAAGAGTTCAGTATTTTTAACAAACCATTGACTATCAGCACCAATAGTTTTTTGTCTCTCCATTCAACATCATACATCTTTCAATAAACAATGCCTTAAAATAATCAGGCATTTGAAAACTAATATTTTATTGTAGTTCAGCTTGATTTTATTGAGTTTACTAAGCCTTAATGACTCCAGAGGTTTAAAAGAAAGAATCCTATAAGTATATAAAATAATACCCATATAACTAATCTAATAGATAATAGAAAAAAAAATGTTGCTTTCTTTAAATAAAGTAACATCTGAACTCAATATTTTATATGCTACTTTAAAAAACTACAATTTGACAGAATTTTGTTGTGTTGTTTAGGTACACTATTTATCTTTCCATTAAACATAAACAAATACCAACTACCACTTCCAATATTATATTGTTTGCTCTATTTCAGAATTCATTTCAACATAATATAATATGGTCGAGATTCAAATCAAAGGCTATTCAATCTTTGTGGATCCTATAATATTAATAAATAATAACCTTGAAAAGGTTTTTCCTTAAAAGCTATCAAGGCTATAATTACCATCTATCCTCTGTTTTAAAAACCGGACCGGACCGGCTGGTCCGACCGAGACCCGACAGCTTCTTCGGTTCGATTCAGGTCTTAGAGAGGTTTTTGTGATATTTCAAAATTATAAGGGTTAATTTGTAATTCTATAAGGGTGTTTTGGAGATATGTTAGAAGTTTAGAAATTAATTGATAATTTTTTGGGGGCATTTTTGAAATAAATAAAAATTTTAGGGACTACTTGAACTTTTTTAGGGAAATTTTGGTAATATATTAAAAATTTGAAGGATTAATATGTAATTTTTTTAAAATAAAATTACAGTCCAACCGGTTGACCCGTGACCCGGGCAGCAAAACAGGTTGCCCTTCAGTCCGGGTTTTAAAACAATGCACCTATCTCAAACACCATTTCTAGTCCAGCTCACATCAACTTTTACCTGTTTTAATGGTCACCTTCATCAATGGCTTTTTCCATAGCCATGCAAATTCAGAGACACAAATATTGTAGGTGAATTTAGTAATAACATCACACTTCCAAACAGTTTGTTAGTAGTTTACATCAAATATGTCTTCAAAAGTATAAATTGAACCTAAACAGGAGAGCATATTACAAAATACATTCAAACCCCTAAATTATATTCAACAACCTAAGTATCACAACATAATATCCAATTCAAGGAGATTTTATCATAACTCGGGCTCATATCTGCTAATGCCAGCAATCTTCTCCAAGATCTCATCCTCAAAATTATAGGTTTCGACAATTTGAACTTTTCCCAAGCTCTGTATAATATGATCAATATCAACTTCCTTTATGCAATGCTTCCAACAAGAGACAGGAAGAGAATGGCTGCAACAACGAGTCTCTTCATCATAAATAAACCGCTTCTTATATGAGAACTGAAACAAAAGTAACAGGCCATATAAGATTCATAGCTCTTATTATCAAAATATCAAAGGGAAAAAGATGAAGTCTTAAAAATCATACTGAATATAGTATTGGAGCGACAATCTTTTCCTTCTATAAGAAAGACCGAAATCATTGACATAATTTAAAAATGTATGACAATTCAAAGGGAGAATGCCGAATATGACGAGCTTGTGAATATTTTGCCTTACAATGTTGACTAAAGCTAAGAACATTGGGCATAACTCCCTTCACCGGAAGGTTAAAAGGCTAAAATGTGCATTAGGACAGTTCACTATTCCTCCTTTTCTTCATAAATTAACCTTAATTATGCATGTTTCTGCTTCCTGTTTTATCTTCAATAATGGCACAATTTTCTCTAAACTCTTCCAGTTATTCATCTGAAAGTACAGAAAAAATCTTAATGTTCAGCACTGAACCTTTTTAAGTTCATTTTACATATTTCTAACCAGGATGTCAGTGTTTATTCCATGCCTGACAAAAATCAATTAACAAGCCTATAATATTTAGTGTTACATAGATGCAACAATTTTTTTCCTTTGCTAAGTGGATATTATTAATATATTATAATGCAATTTATTTCAACTTCCAGAGGCACCTAATTATTAACTCAATCTACTCTAGCTCCCCCTCAAGCAAGACCTGACTTCACCATTGAATGACATTATGCAAAATCAAAAAGTAAGTTGATGTCTGAAAACAGCATTTTACTGTTTATCACAATATATTTTTGAGAACCTCTTTAACGAGAATGACATAGCATGTAAAAAAGGTTGATAAATTGAACTATATCATTCAGTCCTCACAGCATGGATCAAGAATTGAGTTTCTATAGATGGAAACAATACCAGAAAACAGAACTTGTCGAAGAGACCAAATTCATATTGTATCGTTATACTCATTGCATGCGGGCAAATCCAGAGCAAGCCATCCACAAGTTGTGAAATTGGAAAACCCTTATCTTCATCAGTTATTGTGAAGTCTATATGCTTGATAACAGGACATGGGGGACGTTGGATTCGCCTTAGCTCCGCTGGAATAATCACATTCTACAGAAAAGGAATTCAAAAAAAAAAAAAAAAAGTAGCTAACAGCTCAGAAGATAAATATTAATCAGAAAAGGAGAAAATGTTTAAGAGTACAAAAAAAAAAAAAAAAAAAAAAGGGTAAGCACAGACATACCTCACCCCCATTACTATGCAAAAACAATGCTTTGGAAATCTGATGGAACTTTGCAAGAAGTTCAGTGTATTTAACAAACCACTGCAGATCACAATTCTCAGAATAAAAGTGAAGATCCGATTCTGCCAAAGCCAAATCATTCAAGGAGAAGGGTATTATATCACCCATATATTCAAACCTACTTAAATTAGGAGTATCTATCTTGACCTCAACCAAATTCAAACCTCCGATGATCAAATGCTTAAGAGATGGACTTGAAATCTTAACTCTCTCCAACCTGTGACAATCCATTATGCTTAAGTACTCAAGGACTGGAAGTTTAGAAATTTCACGGCAAAGCCACTCATCAACTATGGAAACCATACATAACTTTAGTCGTCTTAAACTCTTACAATTTGCTGCATTGATCTCAAATTGTGCAAATGGCAAACTAATTGTAACTGAATCAACATGCAGAGCATTAATATCCACTTGTTTAAGATCACAATTATACACATGGCTAAAAACCTTGATTTTCCTGAGTTTATTAAGATTAGATAACTCCAGACGTCTAAAACCATCACAGATATCAACCTTTAAATACTCAATCAAAGGAGAACCAGCAATTAGATTCTCAAGCACACGCTCATCAGCAAAAACTCGCATCAGGCATAATCTCTTCAAAGAAGGTAACTTTAGATCAATCCTCCTTAACTCCAGCTTAAACCCAGTTAACTCCAACACCTCAATTGTTTTGGCACTCAAAACAAATTGTGGCACATTGTAGCGCCAGCTTCGATCATCCCAATAACACAACCCTTCAAGTCTCAGCTCTTTGACATTACTCGCAATCACATAGCTAAGACATCGGTCCACCAATGCCACTCGATCTTGCCATATTTGCAATCTCATTCCAAACTCAGTTATATTTGTCAACTCCACATGCCGCTTCAATAGAAGCCGTTCAAGGAACTCCAAAATCTTCTCTCTTTTCCCCATTTCATAATGCATTTCATTGTATTTTATTGACGGCAATGAATGCGCAGCTTGCATCCATTTTTTGCACAACACAGAATAATATACTACTTGTTCAAATGAGAAATGTGACATAATGTGATGCAGCAATGGCTCAGGCAAAGTGGACAGCCTGTCCACTCCCTCAGCTATCCTCTTCGACATAGTACGAACTAATCAAACAGCCATAAAATAAAAAATTTCAACCAAAAATATTTAATTTTAATCTCTAAAAGCTACTTGAACAAAAGCAGAGTTTTTGAAAATAAAAAAAATAATAATAAGAGAGAAAGAAAATACCTTTGAGCGCTTGGACGATCTTTCGGCAACTGGGAAACTTCGTTAAGCAAGCATTTTCAAAATGGGTGGGAGAAATTATGCAATTGAGAGAATTAGGGTTAGGGTTTGTGGGAGGGAAAATTGGGGATGAGGACCAAATTGGATGAGAGAGAGATATAAAGAGACGATATCGGATAGCGTAAAGAGATTAACCAGGACGGCATCCTTTTTACACTGTGGAAAGTGGTAAAGTGTGCTTTGTTTTTGTTAGCCTTAGTTGTTTGTTTTACATGGCTGATTACATATTTTAAATAAATAGTAATATTATAAATAATAAATCATATTTATTAAATAATTGGAGTATATTATAAGTGTATAGATGCTGGAAATTGATTGGATTTGGTTAAATGAAGCATCGAAAAAAACATTTTAATTTAAATATATATATATAAGAGTGCATGTGAAAATGTTTTTATACATTTGCAGACATAAAAGAAATATGAAATTGAATAATATAGTGTGAAAAGTCGGAATGTGTTGTTTTCTTAAGAATTTCAAAGAATAGAGTAGCACTATTTACAATGGCCATTCTGAAGTAAAGCCTATAGAGTAGATGTTGCCTACTAAAGCTAAAAACATTAGGGCAAAGCATACCATTACCCACTGCCACCTCCCTCCCTTCCTTTTTCCTCTTTTGGTTTTAGCTTTACCTTTAAGCATGCTCCAGTGTTTTTAGCCTCTACATATCTGCTTCTACCAGTAAAAGAGAGTTTTTCTTATGTTCATATTCTGAAAGTCTATATCATTTTCTTTTCTTAACAATTAACACAATTTTAATTTAATTTCCGACCCATTAACTGTTTAGCTTCCACACACCAAACGTTTGATAGATTGTCACAGCCATTAATCTCTTAACTTAACTAGAAAGATTGGTTATAATTTTCCTGAAATTATTGCAGTATTAATATTATCAAGAAAATTCATTGTTACTTCCGAACGATTAACTGTTTGATGTCCACCCACCAAGTGTTTGATAGATTGTTGCAGTTGGGGATTCTCTTGACAAAAATCCAACCGCCCAAGTAAAGAATAAAGAAGAAAGTTTTTTTTTTTTTTACAACGGCAAATTATTTGATATGTTGGAATGTATCCCTATCAATAATTATTCAGGGGAAGATAATATTATGGATGAAGAGAAAATTTTGGATAAAAAAAAAAAAAAATTGATTGAAGGATTCTCAGTTTGATATTCAATCATGGGTATTGATACCAACTGTAATCAAAATATTAAGATTGGGATGGATGATAATCAAATAGTTGATGAAATTAATATATTTATCTTATAATTCATGAAAATGAAGAAAACCAGATTGACAGTGAGGGAAACTGGGGAAGATTGAAGAGGCAGGGAAAATTTGAAAATTTCGAATTTAAAAGAGAAATGTGGGATCATAAATGAGATAAACGAAAGCAGTTATAAACGGAAAAGGATTAAATGCTTCATGAACTTCTTATTAAATGCATCATATGAATATGAAGCGTCCTGCTGTCGTCTCAATGAGTTTGAAAAATTCTTAGAAAAAGAAAAACAAGTTAAAAATGAGTTTGTACAAATTCGGTGGAACAGGATGATGGGAGTTTCACAGTTAACATAAAGCCTAAGAAATAGTGGGATGGTAGGCCGCATACACTCACTATATTCTTTTTAGGTTTTTCAAATATTCTACTAAATTTTGGAAAATATTTCCTTATTTTTTATGAGTTTAAATTATTAAAGTCAAAATTAAATTATCTTTGGGCGAATAGTCAAATGGTCAAAAGAAAAGAGGTAATTGAAGTCTTGTTGATATTTTTGGAATAAAAGAAATTCAGTGACTCAGACCCGTGATGAATCTAAGAGAAAGTAAAGTAAGATTCTTGCTCAGATGCTCACATGGACAATTATGTTTTCAATTCATAATAAAATTGCATTTTAGAAAAACTAAAAGGTCATACTGACTGCAATTAGATGAAAAACTTGTGTATTCATAAGACATTAACAACCAGAGTCCTGCAATATAGGTTTCTTTTTGGTGAACAACAAATCAAACATTTTTGAGATTCGCCCACAAGTAAAATATAAGCTGAACAAATAATTTATGTAAAGGGTAATTAGTAATGACAAGACAAGAGGACCAAAAGAGAAAGATGCTTGGCTTTTTCTTCTTTGATATGCTTCAAGACAACACCTTTTTATAAAAGTTTCCCAAGAAACTTCCGGGAAATCTCTCCATGCTGGGCCTCTGGGAACACTCCATCCATTGCTTTAAATCAGAATATAACTATGTCATCAACCAAGTCCATCCAAATTCAAATTTAACATTGGACTTTTGAGATGAGAGACATGTAAAAGCACAAACGAAATCAACTGCAATTGTTGTATTGATACAAGAAAACTTCAAGCATTTAAAGACAACTTACATAGACGCTCTTTTAATTACATTTACAGAGGAGCTCTTTTCCCTTGAAATTTCATTATCCAGAACACCAGCCAAAGGACAAGACCTAATCCCCGTTCTCGTAATAAAGGCCACAATCATTCTAGCTCCAATATCATACACTTTTGGGTCAGATCATAGATAAATTTGAACGTTAATTGTCCTTGCATTACCAGCGTGGATACTCAGTGGACTAACTTATGGTCCATCTTCTTGCGCTGAATCAAAGAAAATGGGCCAATGATCATTCATTGCATTAAACAAAAAAAAAAATTATCCATTGTTAGAGATAAGACTGAGACTCACTGCTCAAAATAAAGCCTTGAAGTAAGCTCTGGGCTCTCTCAGCTTGCTCCGGAGTACCTGATATTTGAATGATCTTTTGTGTCACCTCCGGTCTATCTTCTACAAGTGTAACAGTGGCACCGGACAACTATTCTCATAAACCAGAGATCAAAATGCATATAAGTCAATCGTACTAGACTGAATTAATAAGTAAATTAACAGACTACTACAGCAGGCTCACCTCACTGAAAAGTGCAAGCTTATTTTTGGACTTAGTTATAAGCTTGGGCACTGCATGCTCCGGTATGACAACTTCAAGCGTACTCCTAGTGACAAGCGGTATTGGGATTCTAGCAAGACATTGAAGATATATGTTACAAGTTGAAAGTACTTCCATCAATGATATCTAATTAGAAAATACATCTCAGACATAAATTGCAGACAATATGAACCGCTAGTTAATTTGTAGAACACCCAAATAAAAATAAAGCTGCATTTGCTACCTATTGATTGCACTTGGCACATCTTCGCGGCGTTCAGTTTCATTTTGTTTCTCACTGATAGACCCTCCAGCTTCCTACAATACAAGGGCAAAGATCTAAGAATACAGAACAAGGAACATGTCCCCGCAAAATAGAACCATGAGTCACAAGTCATGCCAGGGAAAGTCACCAAGGGGGATTGAAATAAATTTGGCTTTAAAATAGAAGAGAAACATATTCAAATGTGTGCTCCTAGTTTAAACCTAACTTAACATTTTGCATCTAAAAACAATATTGGTGATTTGGACCAACGATAAACTAGACTAATTGAATGTCCAAATTTCCAAAAACCAGATAATTAATCATAATTCAACAGTGAAGCAATTGCATGTACTGTATCCATTGAAGAGAAAACAATAGAAAAAAAAAAGGAGAAAAATGAATTAGTGAAGAAAAGCTAATATTAGCACAAAAATAGCTCCAGATCCACCAGTAAGAACCTTTGATGGTTGGGTTGTTGCCACAGTTTGCACATTCAGATTAGTTGCAGCAGGAGTCTCACTACCAGTCTGACCTTCACGAACAGGAGTAATGTTATTAGGAGAAACAGCCTCCATTCCAGAAGCACTACCAACAGGACCTGCTGCAGAAATAGAAGAAGGTGGTGTATCCTTTTGAAAGAAATCCCTATATAAGTAACTCCGCAGTCTTGTTGTCACCTCAACAAGAGCATCTCGAGCAGCTTTGATATCCCCTATAATCTGTATCATAAGAAAATGCCGTTCAGAAAAGAAATATACTATAAACAGAGAATAGAAAATAGAAAAACAAAAAACAGAAGTGGAGTCATCAATTTGGTCCACCAAGACAGCAGGTCTCAGAGCGTTTTTCTTTTATCAAAACAATTTCAATTGATAAAGGATAATAAGGTCCTCATTGAAAAACAAGCAGGTGTAAATAAGCATCACAAGAATCAGGGAAAGAAGCATATCCAGATATAAGTGACATTCTAAATCATCAGTAGAACTTTATTTATTTTTTTATTTTTTTAATCTTTTCACCAAAAAAATTTCACTTCCGTGTTTGAAACAGGAGACTAAAGTTAGATGCTATAACCATTAGTAGCCACGAAACTCATTGGATTTTATATGCCAGCTAGGTGACCTAAAAGGATTTGAACTTCTGAACTCTTAGTTAGAAACAAAGGTCTAACCATTCAAGCTCAACTCACCCCTTGGGGTTGATGGAAAAGTTGGATACAGCTTCTTAGAAATGTTCACATATAAAATCCCATAATCATATGACAACAATCAAATAGAGAACCAATCAGGGAAAGAACAAAAACTATTATATGTACTACATTCATTTTTTTAAAATCAGAATGTATCATCATTACTAATTCCATTCCTCAGGTATTCATGTATAACATGGAACACCAATCATCTAACAAGTCAGAGCTCCAAAGAAAATTATTAGTTATGTTAAACGAAAAACCTGTACAAGCTCATCTGTCCCAGATACACATGGCGGAACTTCTTCCCTTGGCAGAATCTGTATGTTAGCACCAGTTACATTCCTCATTTCATTTAAACATCCATCTTTTCCCTCTAAACACCCAATTTCACTGGATGGGACAATTAACCTAGTAGTTATGAAGTTGTCCTTATCAGTAATGAGATCAACAATGCGAGTCTGGATATGCAGCAACGCTTCTTGAGCTGGAAACAACTCATCATCAGGACCCTAAAACAGAAATCAAAAGATCTGTTAGAGCCTTTAATGAGTTTTTTTCTCTATTTCTTTTTTTTTTCTTTTTTAAATCAATTCTTTAGTTCATGAGGATGGTGCAACACAGCAAATAATTTTTTAAATCAATTCTTTAGTTCATGAGGATGGTGCAACACAGCAAATAAAATTCATTTTTACTTACAAAGCATTCAAAAAGGAGCTTGAAAGACAAAGGTTAGACGTAATTACTCAGCTGGAAAAGGATATTTTAAGAGATACAATCATTCTAAAACACCAGATAAATACAAGAAACAGAGACCCATTTGTCCATGTCATCGCAAAAAATAAAAAAACAAAAAAATAAAAATAAAGAAGAAAGGAAACAAGGCATATACCTCCTCAGAAGAGATTATGATTATTTGTTCATCTGAACCAGCAACAGGATCGGCAACCTTAACATCAACACCAATTTCATTTTGAAGTAATTCTACTATGCCCTCAGACTCTCCGATAACCCTATCAACCTTGTCAATTGGACAAAGCATACGAAACACAAGGTCCTCACCATAAAAGGGCTGCCCACTGTCTGAAACAGAAGCAGCCCCAGATTCCATTGAATAGCCAGAGTTGCGTGAATTATAGTTATGACTTCTATAGTTGGAGCCGGAAAATCGTGCCCCATCCATGGCTGACCGTCGAGCCGTGTTGTTCATATGAGGAATATAATCCTCATCAGCAAAAAACCGTTCTGGTGAATGCAATCGTCCATGGAAATGACTGCGGTCACGATGTTGACTCTCTCTCAAGCGTGAAGAAATAATGGCTACAGCATTCTTCACATTATTAATATCACCTACTACCTGCAAGAGAAAAGAAAGGTCATATAGTGAAGACATTTCTAATGTATTATCACTAAAAGGAAGGAGTAGAAAAAATCATAATGAATTTTCCACAAAAACCTTATTATAACATGTAAAATTTTCAGATTTCAGATAAGCAGATGGCTCTTTCCAGGTACCGATAGAGGGAGAATGTACCAGGCAATACAGTAGCATAGAAACCTAAAATTGTATAGACCTTGCAGCATCTGCAATTATTTTTGAGTTCATGATTTGACAACGGTATGGCATAAAACAGATAGTGAAAAATTAATATTTTTAAAGCTAGTAATGGAGTAGTCATATCAGCAATGATTACTGGTGATGCAGGGAGACATCCAGCATCCATTGTAGTCATTAAATCTGAATAATGTTAAAATAATATGGTTGATATCAAAGAGACCTTGCACATCTCAACATAGAGATTATGCTGAGCAACTCTACAGCATAAAAATTACATCGCAAAACCATTTCCTTTATCTACAAATGGCAAATGACTACACAATACAAACCATATTGACATCAGTGTACAAAGTATTCAACCAAATCAAGGACCCAACAAAGTGACAGAAAACCCAAGGTAGGCAATCAAGAATTTGATCACCTGCACCAATACTTGAACATTGATGTCTACGTATTGTAAATCAATTCCAATTCCTCCATTACGGTATGACTGATGCTAAAACAATAAAATTTCAACATATCATAAACGATTTCAACCAAATTCCAGATGCAAACAAAAAGTGCATTATGGGTGTAATGTCATAAAGAAACTAATGATGAAATTTTTTGACAACAAAATCTTGGATAAACTTCATGTATGAAACTCCAAAATCAGACCTCCAAATGGTAATCATAAGTTTAACCAGTAGTAATGCCAAGTGACCACAATCTTGCAAACTGTCCCAAGTCAATTTCACACATCTGATTCTCAGTTCATTAACAAGTAAACCAAGCATATTAACCCCCCTACAGGTGAACAAAACACACCCACAGAACAACCAAAACAGTCCATGTTTTTCTAAAGCAAAGTATACACTTCCCACCAAGTTCTCCCAAGTAACTAACCATTCAGCTACAACTAAAACTTGAAACAAAATTCTATTGATCAGTCACCAGTCACCAAGTTACTTGAGAGTCCAAATGGGCATGATGTTTCCAATATAAAGTTCAATGCAGCAGAAGCTGTAAGTCCAGTAATTTCATACTTCACATTCATTCACAAGAGAATCACCTGAACAATCTCCTCCGACATCGAAACGCAACGAGGCAAAGTATGATCCCTAGGTAAAATCCTAATCTGAGTCTTAGTCTCCATCCTCATTTGCTCAATAATCTTCCCTCCTTTCCCCAACAAACACCCCACATGCATTCTCGATACCACCATTCTCGTCGCCACTCTATTCCCTCCTCCTCTAAACCCTCCACCGTACTCATCCTCCTCCTCCCCACCACCATAACCCCCACCACCACCACCATCACTCTCCAGTATCCTATCATGAATCAAAAACAACGCCTCCTGAGCCGGACTAAACGCCGGCATTCTCCCCTCGGGGTCCCGCCGTCTCGTGTCCGATATCTCAATAATCCTCTCTTCATCCCCAGGGATCAACTCATGCACGTTGATCCACGCGCCCGTGTGTTGCCTAATAGACTTGATAATGCTACCAGACTTCCCGATTACACCCCCGGCTTTCATATCGTGGCACAAAATGCGGTACGTGGTGGTCACCATCAACGAGTCCTTAGGGTTTGCCGATGCTCCCCTGTTATTGTTGCTGTTATTGTTCACCGAATTGGCCCCGCCACGGTGGCGATAGTTATTGGGAGCATAATGGTGGTTGTACCGAGGTTTGGTCCTACCCATGGTCGGTTCTCCATCGTAGTCTTGGTGATCGTAGTAGTAGTTCCGCTTAGATCTAGATCTATCCATGGAAGAAGATAATTATTCTTGTTCGAGTTCGAATTCGAGTTCTTGTTTGCGTTCGTAGTTCTGATTGAGTCTAAGTAAGTAGTACTGTAGTAGAAGTAGTAGAAGTTGTTGTTTGTCATGCACCAGGTCTAGGGTTTGTTGGTGAAAATTGAAATGGAAAATGTTAAAGTCTAGTTCCGGAAATAAGTTCTTGTGCAGTTGTGCTTTTCTCTTTATTTCTCGAGAAAATGAGAGGGAGTTGAAACCCTAGAAATGAGAATCTCAGAGAGTGTCAGTGTGAGAGAAAAGAAAGACCAAAGCCAAACCACACTGGGTGGTGTTCAGTGTTGTGTGGTGTTGTGATGATATGATGCTTTACTTTATTTCTTGGTAATGCAGTGTCAGGGGCACCTATTTGGAAATATCCGAAATCTTTCTCCACGACGGTGTCGTTTTAAGACTTAGAGGAATTTTACACCCCTTCTCACACTCTTAATGATTTCAAAAATATCTTTCCAAGATGAATTTCGAGATTCCACAGGGGTATTCAGCGGGGACAAGTTAAAAATATCTCAATGATACGGCGCGTTTTTATAAATTATCCTCCATGATATTTAAACATGATAAAATTAGATAAAACTTAGTCAAGGCTATAGCTACAATAAGCAATTAAAAAATGTATACAACAAGTTTTATGTTTTAACTTATAATTTTATAAGGTTAATCTTAATTTATTAATACAATTTTATATTGTAACAAAATTTGTTCAATCTATTAATCGTGAAGAACCTAAAGACTCTATTATGTGAACATAAAGTTGTCATAATTCTCTGGTGAAGAAATAAGACTATTAGGTAATCTAGAAGTAATGGTCTTAAATAGTTCAAAATAAGTAATATTATATGTACAAAAAAGTCTTACAAAGATTTATGTATAAACTGATGTGACACAAAATAAATGGAAGAGTGAATATGATAACTTTGACTTTTTATATTCACTCTTCAATTAATTTTATGTCAAATAAGTATGTACACAAATCTTTGTAAGATTTGTTTGTACATCTAGTATTATTGGTTCAAAATTCAATTCAATTAAAAATTGGGATATAAACTTTCTTTCTTGAAGAGGTAGAAATAGAAATTAATTGTTGGGAGCCCAACAAAATTTATAAACATACATTAAAAACATCATAAATCTTATCAATATGAGAAATTTGTATTGATAAACAAATTATATATTTGTAATAAAGTGTTCTATCATTCAAAATATATATTTTATTCTTAAAGGGAAGATAAATGAGTACAAAACCCAATTGATAAATTGAATAACTATTTTTTTTTTTTTTGGAAGAGAAAAAAAAATTGTTTTAGTTTACGAATTTATAAAAACAAAGAATGAGTGTTGGAATAAGAGAAAAAGGGACATAGATTAGGGAATTAAAATTAAGAGTTTTTTTTTTTTAAAAAAAAAAAAACTTTATGATCTTAAAATTGTATAATAAATTTTGAATTTAGATATATTTACAAATTTTAAAATATCTAGAATTCTATTTTCAAATTTTGACTACAAAATTTAAAAATATTTTAAATTCATTGTTTTTTTTTTTTTAAATATTAACCTAGGTTATAGCCATGGAGAGCTATCCCCACCCTTGCTTTCTTGCAATAAAATGTTGAGGTACTTGTTGAAGTATAAAAGGGAATGCAAATTATATGTTTCCTTAATTGTGAAACAATATTGTGTTTCCTCATTCTAGAAGAATATAGACATTATTGTAATATTGTTATAAAATAATCAATTATTATATTAGTAACCGCAAATAATAAATCTATTGAATATAAAAACAATAGAATTAAATGTCAATAAAATAAAATGTTAACACAATAAAATTAACAATACCAACAACGTGATCACGTGTAGGAAATCATTCAGAATGACAGGAAGAGATCCGGAGAATACAACCTTAGGATGAATACCGAGGCCTATGTAACACACGGTTTCTTTAAAACAGATTCGTCTCCATCACTCGGGTACACAAGGATTTGAGCAACGTCTGTTTCCCAGGATACAACGACGAATGAATAGCAAGAGAAGCACTACTCTTCTATTCTAACAAACTGAATTAAGCATAAACTCCAACAAAGGAAAACCTTAAAAACTAGAGAGAAAATGAGAGATTGATATTTTTGGTGTGTTTGAAATGAGAGGAAGAACACCTTTTTATACTACTCAAGGTAGGACAAAACATTGAATTCCACCATTACTTTCCACCTTTTCACTTTCCAATTCTTATAACCTCCTTCATTAATCCACTAACCTTTCGTCTTTCAAAATTCTCAACTTACACCACCACTTTCATTCTATTTATTTCATTCAATTTATTAAAATATTCCAACAATCCCCCACATGAATGAAATTGACATATCTAGACACAAGATGCAACGATGGAGTTTAAACGGTTGGACTTGTATAGGATAGGTAGGTGTTACCCTTTGAACCTTCCCTTATGAAAGTATGTTTACTTTACTGACTGATTAGTAGACATGATATCCTTGAACTAATTTGTCATTTATGTAAATAATGACATAGTTCACACAAGAATCCTCCCTAACATTATTCAATTCTTATTATTATGTTCATTTTGGCCATGAACATACCTTTGGTTTTGCGAAAAGTTCTTAAGAATTGAGCCCTATACAATTCCCTTTAGAAGCGGCCCTACTTCTTTCTCACATAGTTGATCTCTTTAAGAGTAACCCGCATTACTCTGCTTGGAAACCCGACGCATAAGAATCATTAAAGCTTTTACTTAACCTTATTCCTTATGCATATCACTGTTTCATTTAATCATAGGAACGGACTGAGAGTAACTCTCACAGTGATATATGCAAGTCTTTATAATTAAATTGTTTCTTTGAACCTAAATCTTGGGATCTCTAGTCAATTAGGTTGAGTTTCTATTATATTGACTTAGTCTCATTCCACTCGATGATTTTTCAACAATCTCTCTATTTAATCCTTTGATTAGCGAATCTGCTTAATTATCTTTCGATTTCACATAATCAATAGAGATAATTCCCGTTGAGAGTAGTTGTCTAATGGTATTATGTCGAAAACGTATATGTCTAGACTTACCATTATACACATTGCTCTATGTCCATCCAATTGCAGATTGATTATCACAATGAATGTAGGTTGTTGGCACAGGCTTTAGCCACTTTGGATTATCCTTTAAGAATTGGTGTAACCATTAAGCCTCTTCACCACACTTATCTAAAGCAATAAATTCAGATTCCACAGTGGATCTGGCTATAATAGTTTGTTTAGAGGATTTCCATGATACAGCTGCACTTCCTAGTGTGAACACATATCCACTAGTGGATTTTAGGTCTTCTATAACAGATACCTAGTTTGCATCACTGTATCCTTCTAGCACATATGGATATCTAGTATAGTGCAACCTATAACTACGAGTATACCGTAAATACCTAAGTATTCTTATTATTGCTTTCCAATGATTAGCTCCAGGATTACTCGTGTATCTACTCAGTTTACTAATTGTGTAAGCTACGTCTGATCTAGTACAATTCATTAAGTACATCAGACTTCCTATAATTCTTAAGTACTCTACTTGAGAAATACCCTCTCCTTCGATAGATGTTGTAGAATATTTATTTTTGTCAAACTTATGAATTGTGTGTGTGCACAACAGTTATGTGTGCACACTTGTTGCCAATCTTTTTATTTGGCTTGTCTCATCTGTTGTGTGTGTGCACATCAATTCTTAATGCACACAATTTGCCAGACATGTATCTTGGCTTGTTTCGTCTTGAGTGTATGTGCACAACAGTCTGTGCTTATAGTCTCACTTCAGACTTTTTGCAACCTGACACGAGCTGCATGTTTGATAAAGAAAAAAAAATTATGTTTATCTTTGTCTCTTGATATTTAGGACCATTTTACATGTGTCATATTTTCCTTAAGTGGTCCTAGGGAATAAAGTTATCTTTCCCAATTTGTTTTGTGGTCCAAACCAAAAGAAGGAATACTTTCCTCATTTGGATAAACATGGGTAAGCTCCTTGTTGGCTGACGTAGCACTGTTTTGTTGAGCAAGAAAACTTTCATTATATAATACTCTTTCTTGCATAAATGAATCTAACATTTTGATCTTTTATTTCATCTCACTCTGATTTTCTTAGAGTACTCTTTCTCTTAAGGTTCAAGGTTCGTTTTTCATTTTGTGCCAAAACCTCACCATATCAAACAAAGACTTGATGGCTCTTGGAACGTGGTTCCTTAGCTGATGTTGGTGCGTGGCGTCAGTGCTTGAAGCTTGGTGGTTTACAAGCTGTTTTCGGGTGTGTTCGCGGCGAAAGGAAGCTCCAAGGAGTTGCTACACGTTAAGGATTCAAAGTGTGGTGCTAAGTGTAAAGTTGAACAAGGAGTTCTGATAAGAGTGTAATTGATATATTTTTATTCCTTCCATATTATGTTTTTTGTTATGTTTTATGCATATTTGAATTGATTAGAGTTTATTTTGTGAGTTTGGCATAGTTGGATAGACTTTAGGAAGTAAGTGATAAAAGATTAGGAAATTCCAGATTTTCCAAATTTTTCGTTATACTGACAAGTACTACGTTTTCCAGGTTTTTCATGGAGCTAGATTCCTCAATTGCAAAAGTGGTCTTCAGAGAAATTAAAGTATACAAATCAAGTTTTTCAGGAAGGTATTATTAGTGAGAATCCGAGTTCGTTTGGGTTCTCAGTTGTTGTTGCAAAACCGGACCTGGAATCCTAGTCGCAGCAGGATTCCTTAACTGAGCATTGAATATTCGAATGGGCCTAACTAGAGCGTCAGATATCGAAAGCGGGTGATTCAAAAGCCCAGATTCATCTACACATCCTAGACTACAATTTTTATGGAGTTACGGAGCCCAGAAAAGATCTTTTACATTGTGAGAATTATCGAAATGTTGAGGTACTTGTTGAAGTATAAAAGGGAATGCAAATTATATGTTTCCTTAATTGTGAAACAATATTGTGTTTCCTCATGCTAGAAGATTATAGATATTATTGTAATATTGTTATAAAATAATCAACTATTATATTAGTAACCGCAAATAATAAATCTATTGAATATAAAAACAATAGAATTAAATGTCAATAAAATAAAATGACAACACAATAAAATTAACAATACCAACAACGTGATCACGTGTAGGAAATCTTTCAGAATGACAGGAAGAGATCCGGAGAATACAACCTTAGGATGAATGTCGAGACCTGTGTAACACATAGTTTCCTTAAAACAGATTTGCCTCCATCACTCGGGTACACAAGGATTTGAGCAACATCTGTTT